TAGTGGGTAGAGACCAGGGGGGTTGCTGAATATCCTACAGTGCCTGGGACATTTGCCAATCCATCAAATGAGAGGATCATTCAGCTCCCAATGCCAATGGTACCACAGCTATATCCCCTTTGCTTAAATCAGAAGTTTTTATGTGCATCATAGGTGCTCAATAAATGCTTGTTATGGAAGAATAAAGAGATGTTATCATCATTGTCATCAGGATTATTTAAGAACAGATGTGGTCAAGAATAATCCTTAAGAATGGATGTCCCTCCCAAGTTTATGGCCAACAAGTCACACTGGTGGCATGTCACACCTTCCCTTTGGCCAGGGGTATGCCCTCTGGAGCACCCAGAATGGATTGCAAATTGCTCATTGCTGGATCATCATGAGCTGAGACAAGTCCATGTTGCCAGGCACCGGGAGCCCCGGGGAGGCTGCCCCACCCCTCATTCACCAGCCTGGCTTACGGGCTGCCTGGGTGGGGCAGTGCTCACTCCTGATGTCCTAGCACTCATGGAAGTGCTCAGGATTTTTTGCTCAGTGGGACCAGGAGCCACCTATGTCCAGGGCCACCCCAACAGGATCCCTCTCCTGCAGCCCAGAAGCCTCGCGGGTCTGGGTGAACGATGCTGTTTTTGCTTCTCTCCAGAGAGGGCGATGTGACAGACATGGATGGTCAGGGTGGCACAGGTGTCAGAACCTCCCCTGGCCCAGCCCAGCCCCGCCAGCCAGGGGATACTTCCTTGTTCTTCTGACCTAATAAATTGCCACTGACAATGTGACAGACTGGGCTCACATACAAAGAACACCACCTATCGCCTGCTTGGACCCTCGGGACTGTGCGTTGGACGGCCATTCCCTGAAGGGCAGGGGGCAAGGAGAGGAAGGAGGCTTCTGCCTTTTCCTGGGCTTTTCTTCACCTCCCCAGGGCTGCCAACGCCTGGGTCAGCGCCATCTAACACCTCCTTCTCTGCAGGCGCCCACCCTCTTCCCACCAGGAATTCCACTGAGATCTACCACGTTCCCCGCCCGCGCCCGCCTGGGTTGCATCTCCTCCCCAGGCGTCCTGGGCTCGGCAACTGGGTCTTTATATGGTGGTTGTGTTATGAAAAAGTCCTACAGTCGCCGCAGCAGCCGCGAATGGTGGAGCCTGGCCACGTCCCATCTTCTCTCTCCTGCACTTCACTCTGTTCTTCTGCCCTCTCCCTCTCCTCCCAAACATCCTGCAAGTTCCTAAACAAGTCATTGATGCTAAGGTCCACTGGCTGAATAAGTGGACCCAAGGCCATGGGCCAGAGGTATAGGTCTCTCATGGTGGAACACTGCTACCAAACAGCTAGGTTTGGGCGGGGAAAGGATGATGCTTGGTGGGCAGGGACTTTCCTGATGCCTCTGAAGTCACATGCAGCTGATCTGATTCTGCCAGGGAGTAAGACTGGTCTAAAACCCATGATGGGATGACAGGACAAGCGTTGTGCCAAGCGACCACTTGGAAAGGAACCAGGAGCCTACATGGGGTGGCCCAGAATGTTGATGGCTAGAAGCCTGGGGACTGAAGTACCAGCTCTCCCCAGAGAGAGGGCTTGGTAGAGATTCCTCATTGAATCTGTGAGATTCCCTGCTACAAAAATCCACCCCACTGACCGGGCTCTAGGGATAGCAGGAGGCATCTGGACTCACTGTCACCTCTCCCAAGCCCAGTGTCTGAGGGTCTGGCTGGATGCTGGGAGAAGTCAAGGCACAGCAACCCGTCCTGGGCACCTCTAGGGAACTGCATGCTGTCACCTGTGACCTTACGTTGTTCTCACAGCACCCTGGTGGCTGGTTTACAAATGAGGAAACTGATTCTCCAAGCAGTGCAGTGACTTGGCCAATGTCACCCACTTAGTAGGTGCACCAGCTGGGGTTTGGAGCCTACATTTCCCACCACAACCCAAGGCCAGCCTTTTCCAGTCAAGTGTGAACAATTCAGCCAACCCTCCCCTGCATCTCCTCCCTACCAAGTCACGAAACCCTGATTCAGAAGGCTGAGAGTGCCGAGCCCCCAGGAGACAGCCATGGATGAGGGGCCCTGGGGTGCGGCCCACCAGGATGCCAGAGTTCTTATGTCACCAACAGTTGACCATCTCTGGCCAGGGCAGACACAGTAGCCCTCACCACACACAGCTCCTCAGCACATCCACTGCTTCCACATGTCGGGAGGGAGGTGGAAGTGCGGGTGGGGACATGAGATCTCACCATTGTTAGAATTTGAGGGGGTTTTGGCCCTGAGATGCCCTCAGCTATGCCCAGGTACCAAGTTAATAGAGAAGGGAGGCTGAGCTAGGGCTTCTCAGGCAGGAAGGGGGCACCAGCAGGAGGGACTGGCTATGGGGTCAGCAAGGAGGGGCAGCCAACCTGTCCCCAAGATACTTGTGGTCCTGGGATGTCCTAAAACCAGGACATCAGATGCAGGCTAGAGTCCCCACCCCCATCTCCAGGGCAATTCAGGCCGTTCATTCATCAAGCTGGCGGGGGGGGGGG